GCGCTTTCCGCGGGTTACATTTTTCCCGCAATTTCTTTGGGGTTACAATCTTTCCCGCCCTTACCACAGATTACATGTTTACCCGCGTTTGCTACCCATAACAAGCTCTCCTGCGCTTGCTGCAAGTGCTGAAAATACAAAAAAAAGTTTCATTCCTCGTAAAACCAACACTAGATCAATCTCGTCACCCCACAAATGAAACTAACAGGTTTCAAAACAAAAGGCAAAATCGCCCAACCGAAACCAAGCGCGGGACCACGACACCAGTTCCAACTAGTTTACACACGAGTTTAGACTAAAATACAGACTCACTATAGTAGTATAAAACAACGCCTATACTTACTGATGATAGGTTGGATGTAATCCCGTGGTAAGCATTCTGAACCTTACGCTGTCAAAATCAAAGTACAACAAAAATAAACAGTTTTAAGACTAAACCCAGTAATATGACACCATGTCAAATGTTACCTAAAAGGCGAGTTAAAAAATACTGTTGTTACTAGGGCCGGTTTGTTCGAACGCCGGTTAACGCTAACCCAGGAATAAAAGTCAACCGAAATATTAATTTTTCTTGTATAAAATGTTTTTCACTGCTTATGTTTTGTGTAGCTTGAAATTATTCAAACTCAAAACTGAAGGACAGACGTCAATTTTAACAGAAAAGCACAACCAGGCTCAGAAGTTTCTATGCCAATCCTGAATCAACTGATCTTACTTTGAAAAGCTGGGCTGACGCACTTTAAGAATAACGAACAAGAAATATGCGGGGAAAATCCTGAATATAAAAGGAAAGAAAAATATCAAACTGGTGTGAACCTGGTAGAGCCTCGCTGCAAATTGCGGAGCGAGTTGTTCAGGGTCGCTGAAAATGGCGTCTTGGGCGAGCTGGTGCACTCCCCCAACAGCATCAATGTCATGGTCATTGACAACCTTCATGGCGGCATGGACATTATCCAACACAGACCTGTGAACTGACACATTTTAAGAATGACGAACAAGAAATATGGGGGGAAATCCTGAATATAAAAGGAAAGAAAAACATCAAAATGGTGTGAACCTCGTAGAGCCTCGCTACAAATTGCGAAGCGAGTTGTTGAGGGTCGTTCAAAATGGCGTCTTGGACGAGTTGAAGCACTCCCCCAACAGCATCAATGTCAGGGTCATTGTTAACCTTCATGGCGGCATGGAAATTATCCAACACAGACCTGTGAACAAAAGTAACAATGTTTAATTTATAGACAAAATAAATGCAAGCATAGCTGACCAGAGTGTACGTTTAAAAGAAAGGATCGACTGCTTAAGGCGCGGCATTCAAAAGCTACACATTAAAGACGTCTAGTTCTCCCCAGTTAAACTGCGCAGCTTTAAAAAGTTGGTATGAACGCTCTTGTTGTAGGTAGCTGGTACTTTAATGAGCTGCCTGGATTTTTATCTACGTGGGTTAAGTTGTAGTAAGTTGTAGCATGTTACCGTAACTTGCAACACGGTTGGTAATTTGAGCGAAACAGCACTTTTCAACATGAAATGCGACAATTTTGCACCCTAACCTGCAAGACAATGTTGTTCTCATCAGTTCCACTTAGCTTACTCAAGTTATGATTACTACAAAGGCAAAAAGGCTGTTACCCTACCTATAGAATGCGCTGTTTTTTTTATACTGAGCCAAAGTTACAGAGCACTTCACTTTTTAACTCGTCCCATCTTTCGCTGCGCATCAAATGAACAGGAAATTCGTGTGGTTTCCTCAAATTGTATCTGCCTTTAGACAATATCAGAGGTTGTCCTGGAATACTCGCCAAGCGCACGTGTCAGTGCCATGAATGAGAGTCGACTCCTTCCTATTCTTCGCTGCGCAAAAAGGAAACAAAATTGTTCTATACATGTTAATTCTGTGCGATGATCACTTTTTCCACTTCTAACAAAATTAAGTCTTTTCGCGACCTGCTTGACAAAAGTTACATTTTATAGTCGATGCTTCCACCTAATAGGATCACAATAAGCACTTAATGACTGCCCAACAGGAAACAGTGAATCTTGTTTCCCCGAGACCCTCAAACATCGAGCGTCTCGGTGAGTATTGTATTAATTCTGCCTACCTTAAATCTTACTTTTGAGAATTTGGTGATTGATCAAGACAAATTGTACCCCTAGCTGACGAATTCCTTTATCATCAACAGCTTCATGCTTAACAATGTAATGATATAAGGAGAAATTAGATATTGAACAATCTCACTTACCAATAAAATTTATTCCCAAGAAATAATCAGCAACATTGCACTCTGCAAGCGCTTTCTCTCGGACGAATCTGACAAGTATCTAGCATAGGCGGCTTGAAAAAGTGACGATGATACCAGTTAGTGACCTGGGCACCATCTGCTCCCCTGTCCACCAGGTATGAGGCAAGATCCGCCCTTATTCTGATCCACAACAGGGGATGGAAGCCTTCTGATGGGTGGGGTCCAGTACTGGAACACATCATCACACGACAAGATGACCTCGAGCTCGTTTGTGGTCAGACCGTGAGAAGCTAGCGGAACACAACAAAAGAAAAACATTATTGTGAACTTTCTGTGGATTAAACCCTAGGTAAGACCATTTGAACGAAAGCTATAACGGATGCGTTCATCGCCTTGTACGAAGTGGTTCCAACCTTTTAGTCTGTTTGGATATCCTGATGAAACACTGTCTCTCGTGTTTGACATATTACATAAAAATAAATATAAAAACTTTTCTGTAATGGATATCAAGTTACAAACTAATCTTTTAATGCTGGCATACTTTAAGTGTAGGAATACACTTGTACTCTTCA